ATCATCCCACCCAGCCCCGGAGGAGATCAATGGAGCCACTTTCAGGGAGTACAGCCAGAACGGCGCCCCAGGAATGCTTCACAACATCGGGATTCAGCTGCGAGCGACTACACAGCTGTACGAGCAGTTTCTTCAGTCTCAGCGCAAGGAATCCGGCCATGAATCAACACTTCACTGGGTCTTCAACAATGCCACCAGATGGAACTCGGATATGCGGATGATGGAGAGGGCCCTTCGTCTCCGCCCGGCTCTCAATACGTTCTTCAATGACGTTCAGAACCGTTGGGAAACTGAGGGTCTTTGTGACAAACCGAAACCGGCAGTTCTGCAATACCGCTTAAGTGCGTACGACTGGAAGGTTATCGAGGTGCTTGTCAAGCTTCTGAAGCCTTTTGAAATCGCCACCAAGCAACTTCAGGGCGACGGTATTCCCGACGCGAGGTCGACTTGCGGTAGTTTCGATGAATACTTCCCTGTCTTCGAGATCCTACTTGACCACCTCGAAGGAGCTATCGAAGGCACAATCTTTGAAGAAGTTGAGGATCCAGTGAGCAAGGAGAAGAAGGACGTCGAAGTCGCCATCTACGACGGGCTCGATAGCAGAACCCGTAGATTGCTCAAGGTCTTTATCAAGCTCGGATGGAAGAAGCTGCACAAGTACTACAACTGTCTGACTAGCGCAGCTTATGTCGGCGCTGTTGTCTTCAACCCGGCGAAGAAGTGGCGCCTTCTCGATCAACTGTGGTCTCGAGTGCCTTCTCGTAAGGCCAAGGGTTGGCGATTAGAGTACGAATCCCAGCTCTTGGAGATCTGGGAGAGTTACAGGGAACGCGAAGTTGACTACGAAGTCTTCGCTACATCTGACGAGGCCTCAATGGATTACATTGAGCGGAGACTTGCCAGGAGTGTAGCTGGGTCGCCATGCGCCCAGGGTTCGTCCTTGGCAGTGTCCAGTGCCCGCAAGAGCACCCGAAAGACGAAACACACGACAGCAGGAGCGACTGCTGATGACGAATATGCTTGGTACTGTGCTGAGGATGTTGTCAACAGTCACCACTACAGAAGCAGGCCGATTGACTGGTGGAAAATCAACAGGAATCGGTACCCGCGACTGTCTCTGATGGCGGTTGATATGCTCACCATCCCATCGTCGTCTGCGGAGAGCGAGAGGACATTTAGCAGTGCAGGACGTATGACGGCACCGTTGAGAAGTCGGCTGAGGAGGGAGATAGTGGCGATGGCTCAGTGCATTCGATCATGGAGTAAAGCTGGGATCTACACGCCTTCACTGCCGCTGGTTAGCCTCAGTGATGATCAATGGGTTGACGCACTTGCGTCGCTGAGGGGGACGAGTGACATTTAATCTGCCTAGTACCTGCCTTTGCACAATTGACGATGTTCTGCGATGTCTTATCTGAAGCCGTGATACCTTCTAAACCCGCTCTGCACCTCTCACCACTCTTCTGTCGGGGTATGACGGCATGACGGCCTGGTGATGATGACGACGGTCCATTTGGTTCTAGGTCCTATTGGTGTTTCGGTCTCCGCCGGGATTAGTTCTACGTTCGATCGAGTTCGAATCGAATTCGATCGAATCTTGGCATTCGATAGATATCGAATCTACGGAAGACATGTTCGATTCGAGTCGAATCTACGGCACAAGAATTGTGGCGCGTTCGATTCGATACGAATCTGCGGGAGATGTGTTCGATTCGAGTCGAATCTACAGGACAAGAATTGTGGCACGTTCGATTCGATACGAATCTGTGGGAGATGCGTCCGATTCGATTCGAATCTACGGGGTCACATTCGATTCGAACGCCAAGGCTTGGCGTTCGATTCGATAGATTCGTAAGATGTCCATCCCTGCTACTAAGCCTGCTCAACCCTACATGTGAACTCAGCTACAACGTTGTTGAATCAAGCCATTGGGTCACCATAACTATTCTCGTAGATTTACGTTTTCTTTCTCTTTCTAATGATATATAGAAATCACAATTTCCTGTCACTCTTGTAAATGTTAGTTGGGGGGCGGGGTTCCCACCTCCGTACCATTCCTCCTGTAATTCGAGATCTCTTTCCGCAGCATCCCAGATATCTCGCATGCCTCGCCGCCCTGAGAAAGGCTGCTTCGCCATCTCTATCCCTACATTCTGTTCAACCCGCTCGTTCTCAGCCCTATCCCAATCAAGATAACTCATCTTCTCCTCTGTAGTCCAGTCCCTGAAGCTATTTCCTACCTTGCAACGAGGCCCCATTCGCTTGTAGTCAAGGCACCAGTTATACTCTGTTTTAGAGTAGCGTGTAGGCAGACCCTTGGCCTTCCGGTATTGTTGATTGGTCTTGACAGCTCCCCGATCCAATGTAGCATACCAGGCCTCTCGTGCTTCTTTGTATCGTTGGTAGATAGCACGGGGGTCATCAGGTTGTAATGAGGGCACTGCTGCAGTGACAGTTGCTGGCCTGGTTGCTGGTGGAGATAGCACACGAGTTGTTGTGTGTGTTGTCGTATGTGTCGTTGTGTATGCTATAATCTCAGATACCACAGAGTCTCCTGATGGGGATAACGGGGACAGTGAGCGAGTTACAGAGCGAGTAGATGTATGTGCTGTTGTACGCGTCGTCATAGAGGTTTGGGCAGGAGCCTGCAATAGCTCTTCGTAATGTAAGGGGCATGATTTCGATTTCCTAGTGTGGCCTTGTACACCACATCTCGAACACTTCGGTGGTGCCTTTGGTTGTGCTGCTTTCTCAACAGCTTCAAATGCACAAGGCTCATGTTGTGTGCTTGTTGGTGGCAGCGTTGAACGAGCTGCTAGACGATCAAACTGCTTGTGAGGCTCAATAATAAGCTGGGGGGTTCCTGAGCGTTGGAGATGCCAATGTGAATGGAAATGATATAGTTGAAGGGGCTGACTCTGCACCAGTAAAGGCTGAAGGGTGTGAGCACAAGGCAGACTGAGGGTCCTAGAGAAGGCCCCTGTACACGCAGGAAGTTCGTTCAATAGTCGTTCCCGTTGAGCCTCAACCTTCCGTAGGGCTTCATGCGAGATCCAACCACGGATATTGCTGTACAATACCCCAGATAGCTGAAGAGGTACACTGGTATGCTGCTTAGCCTGGTTTGCTTCGAGCTCGGTAAGCTGGTTTACTAGAACGAGCTTGATGATCCTCCAGGTCTCGAAGAGGTCAACTTGCGAGTTGTTGTTCATATGAGATTTGACGAGCTTATGAATACCCTCGCACCGTGATGTAACATATTGCTCAAAGTGAAGGTATTGGTTAACCCACGCCTTGACAAACCTCTGCTTATAGGGATCCAGCCAGGTCTCTATGATATAGCCCACCTCGTTGATGTAGTCAGGGATGTAACGCTTCTTGAACTTCTCAAGCCTCTCGTTGTAGATATCCTCAGTCGTTGAGGCTACAATCTCATGCCAAGAGCCATAGAACTCCTTCCAGTCTTTCTGCCCTTGGGCTTCGGGTTTATCTCGAGTGAATACAGGCATACAATGGGTCAGAACTGCCTTGTTGATGTGCCATAAGCATAGCATCGAGCTTGACTCGGGGAAACAAGAGGAAACAGCATTCATACAAGCAAGGCAGCGATCTGTAAGTATCACAGATGGAAGGGCTGATCCACAAAGCTCATATACACTCCGTAACCGACCAAGAGCCCAGATGAAGTCATCCTCTTCCTCGCCACTAAGGAACGCAAATGCAATACAGAAGGATCGATGACAAGCATCAACACCAACTATATCGAGAAGAGGCATCTTGTACTTATTGGTCTTGTATGTACAGTCCAATAGAAGCACCTCGGGATATAATTTGAGGTATCCCAGTGACTTCGGATGTGCAAATAACACAGCTGTAACTCTGCCACTCTCGTCAAGGTGAATCTGACTCCAGAAGCCCTCGCTCTCGAGGTGGTCAGCAAGGGCATGCATATGGCTTTGACCCTTAGCAAGCTCCCGTTTGCCCCGTGCAATACAATTGTAGATATCTCTCTGTGTAGCAAGTGTATCTGAGTTCATGCGTAAATAGGATCTGATCTCCCTTGGCGCAATGCCGGCATTGGCAAGTTGATGGACAGTTGATTCCTCTGGACCGGATAGTTGACGAAGCGTTGGATGTGCTAGTTGGCTGAAGCTTGGTTCATGATTGTGTTGATCAAAGCCAGCTCCAGGACGATGCCTCAGACTCCATATAGTCTTGCACAAGCTTTCCTTTGCTGTGACAGAGAAGAGGCATCCTGTACGTCGTGTTGTAGTATCCCGCTGCTTCTTCTTCGAGGGATTGAGGGAAGGAGTACGCCCTCCTCCACGGTCACAGTTGAAGTGAACTGTACTTCTTCCATTGGGAGTCTTCCTCGATCTTCCGATCACGAAGGCATAGCCTCGTGGTGCTGCCCAAGCATTGATTGCTGTACGTAGTTCCTCTAGTGAGTTGAATTGGCCTTCAGGAGGAAGGACGTCATCAGGGAAGCGAAGGGAGGTGTCAATTGGGTTCATCTTAGCAGAAGAAAGGCACGGTAAGTTGGATTGATACCGCAGAAGCTGTTGACCGTTGAATTGGGGGGTCAATTTGTAGTATGCTAGTTATCCCTTTTTGTCAGACAATTGGCTCCACAGGGATCATTGATGGCACCAGTCAATTGATGAGAATTATCTAAAGAACAAAAGAAATTGAACAGCCATGTGTTCGGGCAGAGCTATTTAAGCTCATGTCGTTTGGATTGGAATCCTTGATGCGACAAGTTGGATGTGAAACCGGATACACGACCCCAAAGTATGAGCCACGTCTCATACCCAGTCGCACGAACCTAGCGGTGATATGCGACACTTTTCAATATGGCCAACGTGGCCTTACATAACGGATGATAGTTGCACCACCGGTGGTGCACGAGTCACGTGAGGATATTTGCACCATCGATGGTGCATGTATCAAGACCCATCCCAACCAACCAAGTCAAGTAACTTGGTTGTTGGACACACTGATCAGTTCGACAATGAGGTCCACACGTCGCAGATCGCCTGGTGTATGGGTTGGTGGCTGCTGAGAAGACACAAGCCACGACTCGCCGACGAAGGCCAAACGGTTGAGGACATACTCCCACATCCTTGTTGTTGCCCATTCCGGATATGTCTGTGCGTCCTGCCAGAGACGACGCAGGGCTGGGGTGTTGATGAAAGACATTGTAGCACCCGTGGACATTGGACGTCTTGGATAGGCCTAGCCCTTCTCGCTGCACTTCAACGGTCTGCGGTTCCCCCTCCCGGGTCCGCGTACGTTGCGTTGACGTCCATCTGTCTCCCCAGAGCACTGGCTCCTTCGTGATAAGGGAGGAGTCATAGCTAAATCGAAGTCCGCGGAGTGCTGTTGCCATGACTATAGTCTCTGGCAATGAGTACTTCAGGCCGGTCTGCGCCTTGATGTGCTCGAAGAGGAAGCAGTATCGATTAATACTGGCACGGAGGAATCTAGCCATCGTTTGAGAAGGAACGGCAAAGAACGGCTCTTCCGGATCATCCTCTGACGTCTCTCTCGGTTGGGGTGGAGCTGATGAGAATAGATACGTGATACGCCGTAGGAGGGCTAGCGACACTCGGTCCTCCGCCCGGATGCCATAAGTAAATTGGTGCTGCGTCAGTTCGAGGGGCCGCACCTCATTATCCGTTTCGTCCTGATCGACTGTGGGAAGGTTACGGTGGATGCGGAGCTTGCCGAGCCTGTACGCACATTGTACCCGGGACTGATGGGCATGCGCTCCCCTCGTGGAGTTGTGTTGGTCAAGGAGATATGATGGGTCCAGGGCCATGCTCTCAGTATGGCGGTTCTAGAATGGATACTGCTTAGCGGCATCGAATGGGACCTTGATGAGGTTATAGAACTGGCTGTAGACGAGGCCGTTTTGAAGCTCCTAGCTTCCTGGTCTGGGAGTGATTGTTATATCTCTAGTATCGCGGAGCGTCACGAATGGGTAGGCGGTACGGCGAATAGGTGGGCTACGGCGAATAGGTGGGCTACGGCGCTTCCCTGACTTACTACGACTGGCGCCCTCTTCCTGGTCATTGAGACGATTCTAAAGCTGACTCCATTGTAGCCGGCGACGCCAGAGCCTGTCCAAGCAGCATCGGCGCCAGAGCAACACACGCCCATGCGGTCCTGTCTCGGCGGGCGTAAGCTGGCGGCCGATGTCGATGTACGTGGCATGTGGGTCAAGGTAGGTCTCGTCGACGGCAGAGTCCCAGTGACGCCGCCACTCCTCAAGCGTTGACTCAAGCGTGGGCCGCATCCATGTCAGCTTGGTGTTCTTGGCAGCCATGTAGAGCCGCAGGCCAGCGTACTCAGGGAAGGGAGTGTTGGAGATCACAAGTGTGAGGCGACCAAGTCGGTGGCAAGGTGTGGAAGAAGGTGGAACATTCCACAAGAGATCGTACCTGTATATAAAATAGTAGGGTTCTCCTACTGCACATTTAGTATGAATTAAGCAACTTGAATCTTCCTATTTCAACAGGGAGCGGCCCTTGCCTGGACTTCTTCCCAGAGAGCCGCAAGGTATCGAGACTGCAGTGTAACGTAAAAGTGCTTACGGTGTGGCTCAGCGGTATAGTTGGAGGAACAAATTCACTGACCGCGCCGTATGGCACGCCTCAACCTCTTTGGTGGACTCCAATCGCTGCTTGAGTCGACGGTACCACTATCGCTTGAATCGCTTGTGGCCGGGTCGGAGTCGATGGCATTGCCGATTGTTGTCAATTGACGTGCCAGTTTCTGGTTCAGACTCTGGGCTGCATCGACCTCAAGGACAGCACCTGGATCCACCATCGACGTGGATGTTTGCAATGGCGATTCGATGTTCATTGTCTCTCTTTGAAGTTCGGGTCCTGATTGTGCAGATACGATGAGGTCGCCGAATACCTGGTCAAGCTCCTTAAGCGTACGTCCTCTGATCCGATTTACTAAACGGAGGACTGGCGGTTGGCCTTGCTCGGCTAGCGGATAAATGTAACCGCTGCGGCTCCCGGGCTTTACTGCGCGACCAATCTTGAAAGAGTTTATGAATATTGTACTGCTAGTGTATTGTAAAAGGCTCTCGGGTGTCCAGTGGAAACGAGGGTCAGAGGGATCGCAATCTGGTGTCCAGCTAGATGATCCGAATTGCTTGGCGGTAATGGCGTTCAGTGCTTCTTGCAAGCTACCATGCGTTGTAATATAGCGCTCCTCGTCTTCTATAGAATATGTCAGAATTGTTGGACGCTGGAGCTGCTGGAGCTGCCTGGGTTCTGATGCGATATATATAAGAGAGACCCAGGTAAGCCGCCGCTTGAGGTTCTTATTATAGCTTTCCTTTATAGTTAAGATGAATTTAGTATTTAAAGGCCAAGGAAGGATCTAATGCATAAGAAGGAGGAGATGACTAAGTTTCATGAACCAGCCGCCCGCCTCCGCATAGCCTAATATATTGCTAATCAGCTTGATACTACGTCGGACAGCAATACAGTAAGGCATTGACTGTTAGCTCTGCTGCTATTCTAAGTGACTATTGCAGAAGTCAAACCCAAGAAGATTATAGATAAGGTTCCATATATTAGGAAAGCGGATTTTGTTGCCTATTAGGAAATAGGGTTGGGTATGGTTGATATTGCGACGACGGTTGTAGAAGTAGCTCTGAAGAATATCATAGCAATATGGCGGAGGCTGAGTTGCAGAGTATTAGGCGGCTGTCTCGTCTGTGAGGTCCGAGCCGCTCTTCCAGTCAAGACTTTTCCTTGCTGCCCGCTATATGTCATACTGAAAGGATTCGATGACCGTACTGTGTAGATACTCAAGCCAGATGCATCGGTTCTCTGGTGACTGTCGTACGGAATATTGTTGGGCCCATCTCTGCGCCTGCTACATCTGCGCATGGACGTCGCGGATATCCCGGGTCACCTTCCACTGACGACTATATTCGCCCTGTAGGATATCATTACCCACCATCAGTCAGTCGCCAACTTCTTTCTTGAAGCGCCAATTATCCCAGTCAAACTTACCCGGGAGCCACCAACCTAGCCCGTACCATGCCCCACCACCCTTTCGGACGCACCATCCTTTCAGACTAACAGCTGAGGCGATTCCCACCAAAAACCCACCAATTGAATTAACCAGGTAGCTAAACAATTTTGAGGTTATATACAAATAAAATATACCATTTTGTAGAAAATTGACTCTTCTATTCATATCGTCGTTTTTTAATGACCCTACCCGATCTGGTGGTAATTTAAGGCGACTCCGGGACCGTCGCGACTTGAATTATTAAAGCCATCTCCATATCTAATTCCACCTCCTCCTCCAAGTCAAGTTCCACCATAATAGTCAATCTGCCGTCTACAACTTCCATAATCCCTTCACCTTGGCCCAGAGCCTTGCTAAGGGCAATGAATCGCCTATTCGGGTTCGGTATGGCCCTTTTCTTCTTTCCTCTTTCCAACCGGGCTACCTTCTCCTACAGGCTGGCAATTTAGACTTTATGGGCTGCAATGAGTTGTCCTTGGGCCTTAAAGCCTTTAGCTATAATATTATATCGTCGTCGAGTGCTAGGGGTTTTGTCTTTGCCCAAATTACAAATTTGACGCCCGACTTTTAGTATATTATCTAAGCTTAAATAAGAACTAGATTCTAGAGGCCCACTCTCTAGCCTCTTTACCTTGTCTTCTTGAATTTCTAGATGCCTCAATGCCTTAGCCCGGGAGACTGGCCAATTCCCAGTTACTCTCCAGCTGGATAATACATTCTTTGGGGTCATCCCGATCTCCCGTGCCTTGGCATAAGCCCGTATAAAATTGACTTTATTAACAGGTGCGGAATCCATGAGAGAAGCCAACTTATCAAGCTCTTTTCGATATGCCGTCTTCATGGGATTAAAAACTCCGTTATCCAATGGTTGGAGGCTATGAGAACAGTGGGCAGGGAGATAACAACAATAGATGTTATTCAAAAAGCACAAAGTCATCCACTCGTCCTACCACTTTATGTTAACATTGACCTTTGGGAATAGAAGTGAAGAACGTACCGTTGCATGACTTCTATGGCCGTCTATGATGATAAGTCTGGCATTAGAGGCATCTGCAGGCTTAGTCTGTGGCATATATACCTCTTCGAGCCACCTAACGGCGATGTGGTTGTCCGTCTACCCGTTGGGTGAGGTTATATAATGCCAATCAGCTATTTTCCGAAACTCGTTCAAAAACCACTGCGATTGGAGTTCCTTGCCCTTAAAAATGATGCCAGGCCTAAGAGCACGCCCGTCTGCGGTGATAGCCTCAATGAATGAGGTCCAGGTACGAGATTGGGAGCCCTTAAGAAATGCCTTCTTCTTAGGATCTGCACTTCCAACCACCAAACTGTCCAACCCTAATGGAATCAATCTAATCAGTTACATCCATGAATAAAGGCATGAATACCCACCAAAACCGGACATAATACCTCCCTCGTCTATGTTAACGGTGTTCTCCGGTTTGATCCATCCATATTCCTTTTCTCGGATATCAAAGTACCAGTTCACGGCTTTGGGAGTGAATGAGTCAAACCTGTTAGCTTCTTGACGTTTTCCGCGCTTGGTCTTGATCTCTGGATAACGATTGATGAATCTGGCTACCCAGTTGGCCCCCAATATCCCCTTGTCGTTTTGTTGATTCAGGAGGGCCACGACGCAGGCACGAATCTGACTGTGAGAGGGAGCATAACCCAAAGACTCTTGACGAAGAATCCAGGAGACTAAATGAGCTTCTTGATTCTTGGAGAGACGTGCTTTTGGCTGAATCTGATCGGCTAAGGCACCCCGTCCGTTGAGTCTATCGGAGACGGTCTGCTTTGGCACTCCCCACTTCTGACAAGCCTTGGTGAGGGATAGACGCTTGTTTGTGACGTCTGATATAGCGTTAGCAATTGCTTCTTCTGAATAAATGTGTCGAGGCCTTTTACGAGTCATTGTGATGATATTGTTGAAGATTGAGAGAAAGAGGGTTGAGTGAATTCAGGAGGAAATTTGGTGGCTGTCAGCCAATATTGCAGGACAGGGTGCGCACGTTCCCCAGAGTTCCAATCAACCAAACAAATTGCGTATAATGATCTTCAGTCATTTTTATAATCGTTGAAGGCGACGGCTTGCGAATAACTTCAAATTTGAGCCTAATCTCTATAAGTGATGTGGTTGAGTTTTATATGGGCTGGTGGATTTTTTGCTGTTCGAAAGGGTGGGGCGTCCGAAAGGGTGGTGGGGCATGGTAATCTTTTGAGGTTTTGCACAAGCCAAGGCCCTCTCGTTCAACCTCACGGTCCTGTGGCCGGGCATCTCGTGCAGCAATTTGCCGGGTCGACTTCCAACGATCTCTCCATAGTACTGACTCTTTGGCGATGATTCCAGATATGTTCAGACGCAAGCTTCGAAGTGCCAGAATCATAACAATAATTTCAGGTAGGGAATATCTATCTGCAGTTTGGGATTGAATGTACTCGAAGAGAAAGCAATACTTGTTGATAGTGCCGTGCAAAAAGCGCGCTATTGTTCTTGATTGAATGGCAAAAAACGGAGACTCCCGATCCGGGGGCAGCCGATCACAGCCTATCTGTATCGTCGGCTGAAAAGGATCGAAGTATAAGACGATACGCTCAAGCAGCGCCAAAGATATGCAATCTTCAGCTCGAACCCCGTAAGTGAACGGGACAGAGACACCGTCCCTGCCATCCAGAGCTAAGCTCGCTCTTATATGCAGCTTGCTCAGGCAATAAGCAAGTTTAAGAGAGGCCTGGTTGGCATGGCTCCCATGGGTAGATCTCTTACAATCACCTAGATATGCGGGATCTAGGGCTATCTTTTTAAGTTGGCGGTTCTGGAATGGATATTGCTTTGTGATATCAAAAGGAACTTTGATGAGGTTGTAGAACTGGCTGTATACGAGACCTTCGAGAACCTTACGGCTCCTGTCCGTAGGCTTGATGGTTATATCCACCGCGTCATGCATTGCAAGCTTAGGGTATTTGGCGAGATGGAGGGGAATAGATCCAGGCTTGGGTAGCTCCGGATCTTTAGGTAGTCTTTGTTCAGCAGAATGCGTGGCATTATAACGACGACTCTAGCCCTGTTGCTGTTGCCAAAGGCGCTTTAAATAGCACTGCCGCCATAAAAGCATATTGGCCTCGGCAATAGAGCTAATTTAAGGGGTATATTGACGACTAATATTAATATATATAATATAGGGGTCAAGAAATATCTAGTCTATAGCAGCATTCCATTAGTTGCGCTAGTTATGGATAGTCTGCGTAAGATCGGCATTCATATAGGCAAGTTTTAGGTTCTTAGCCCCTATATACAGCCTTATGCCGGCAAATTGGGGGAATACCGCTGCATAAGATTGGACCCCTTATTAAATAGTACTAAGGTATCTTTACTGAAGAATATAGGAGAGTATATTAGTCTTCCTGCCTTAGCTGAGGATGTTGGTATTTACATTCCCATCCTTAAGGCGCTCCGTGGAGATACCCTCTTATTGGGCATAGGAATTAGATTGGGCGATATAGCGGCATTTAGGTATGTACTGGAGTATATTTGGGTTTTATATTGCTATAGTAATAGCTAATAATAGGACCTAGTTGTACTAATATGAGTAGTGCTCCTTGGGAAGATAGGTGTATTTGAGTGGATTATCCGGAACGTATTAGGGATATAGAGCTGGGAAGAATACTCAAATAAATATATCAATTAAACCTTGGATCCGCCCAAAGTAATAGTTGGGTATATGGTATAGGGGTTGTTATCGCTAGAAGGTTTCCTAGGAGTAATAGTTAGTTTAGGTAAAATTGTTGCTCGGGATATCAATCTTAAGATATATATTATTGGTGTAGTTAAAGATGGCAAAGGGCTGTAGATACTATTAAATATCTAGTTTAGTAATAGCTAAGAAAGAGGGAAAACTACAAATACTATTAATATTATAGGTTTTCTAAATTAGGTTATTTACAAATAGCTTATTAAAGCTATATTTTATTAGGAGGCAGAGGCTTAGCGGTATACTGCTACTAAGAGATCCTTCCAAGACAATCTAACAAGCCGTCTGATAATTATAATAGTATGGGTCCATTAGATACTCCGCGGCTGGATGAGTGTTGCTATTGTAGGCGGCCTCAGCCTGAAAGATATAATTAAGAAGATTAGAAGAAGAATCTATAACATATGGGAGTGGATGGTAGTTATAGTTATTATTAATTAAGCTGTCTAGCCAAGCCATAATGTCGTCTAGAGAGTTGTAGGAGTAATGATATTCGTTCTTAGCCAATTTCTTATGATTTGTTGTGTATTCTTAGCTTAAGTAGCTTAGGTGGGCCGCCCATTTTTAAGCAAGGTATTTTTTAAGTGTGGGAATTAAGTTATCAGGAGTGGATAGGTATTGATAAAGATACTTAAAGGACTTGCTACTATTATAATATTTATTGTTTTTATTATTGCATTTATTAGCTATAGTTGTAATTAG